AGTCATGAGAATTTCTCATGAACTTCAAACACAAAATGAAAAAATTAAAGAAAATACCGAAAAAATAAAGGTGAACAAAACATTGCCTTATTTGGTATCAAATGTGATTGAGGTAAGCATAAAATTTTTGTAAGTTTTGGAGAACCAGTTATATTTTTGAAAATGATAAAATAATATTAATTTTTTTCTGTTGCAGTTACTTGATGTAGATCCTCAGGATCAAGGAGAGGAAGATGGAGCTGTTGTAGATTTAGATTCTCAAAGAAAAGGAAAATGTGCAGTAATTAAAACATCTACCAGACAAGTAAGTTTTCAATTAAAATCATTCGCTTTTAAGATATATTTTATAAAACGAATCGATTATAAAAATTTGTGATAGACAGTTACAGCTTGGTCAAATAATAACATTATGTAATAATGTTTTATTTATCCGACACATTTACTCTTGCACATTTTTATGAATTTTAAATTATTAAAAATTTTTTTTTTTTTAATAATATATAAGGAACATGTACTCTATTTTGATATTAAAAAAAAATTTTTTTGCAGACATACTTTTTGCCGGTCATAGGATTAGTCGATGCTAAAAAATTAAAACCTGGAGATTTAGTTGGTGTTAATAAAGATTCTTACTTAATATTGGAAACATTACCTGCAGAATATGATGCCAGAGTAAAAGCGATGGAAGTAGATGAAAGACCATCCGAACAGTATTCAGATATTGGCGGTTTGGACAAACAAATTCAAGAAGTAAATACATTATTTTAATTTTAAAATATAAATTTTATATTATGTAATTTTTCAATTTAAAAAAAATTTAAATTTAATTTTTATAATTAACAGTTAATTGAAGCAGTTGTTTTGCCAATGACTCACAAAGAGCGATTTGAAAATCTTGGAATACAACCTCCGAAAGGAGTTCTATTATACGGACCTCCTGGAACAGGTATATTTAAATTGAAATAATTTATTTTGATATTTTTTGTTATTTATTTGTATTTATCATAAATTTAAATCATGTTGTAGGAAAAACTCTTCTTGCCAGGGCATGTGCTGCACAAACAAAATCCACTTTTCTTAAACTAGCTGGGCCTCAGCTTGTTCAAATGTTTATCGGAGATGGTGCAAAATTAGTGAGGGATGCATTTGCTTTGGCTAAAGAAAAAGCACCAGCCATTATTTTTATCGATGAACTCGATGCTGTAGGAACTAAAAGATTTGATTCGGAGAAAGCTGGTGATAGAGAAGTTCAAAGAACAATGTTGGAATTACTTAATCAGTTGGATGGATTTAGTTCGAATGCTGATATTAAAGTAACTTAACTTTAATTTTTTAAATTTATTATCAAAAATTTTTCAATAGAAAAATTTATTTAAAATTTTTTTTATGCTTATAGGTAATAGCTGCTACAAATCGTGTAGATATTTTAGATCCTGCTTTACTTCGTTCTGGTCGTTTAGATAGAAAAATAGAATTTCCTCATCCAAATGAAGAAGCAAGAGCGCGTATAATGCAAATTCATTCTAGAAAAATGAATGTTAGTCCCGATGTTAATTTTGAAGAACTATCTCGGTCTACGGACGATTTTAATGGAGCTCAGTGTAAAGCTGTTTGTGTTGAAGCCGTAAGTATTTTTTTCATTCGAAGTTTTATATAATTTTGACAATATTTTTAAGAAATTTGTGCTTGGAAATTATTTTTAACGGTTTGAAAAATTAAAAAACTAATTCTTACTAATGAAAGATTTCAAAATTTTAATTTTTTTTATTATTTATTTAAGGGAATGATCGCTCTTCGACGAAATGCAACTTCTGTCACTCACGAGGATTTCATGGATGCTATTTTAGAAGTTCAAGCTAAAAAGAAAGCTAACCTAAACTATTATGCTTAATCAGATTGTTACAATCAAACAATTATTATTTTTTTTTTTTTTATAACTAATTTAATAAATTTAATTTTATATTTTTATTTTTAAATTTTTTTCAACATTTTCCTGTTTCCTAAAGCTATTTTTTTTTTTATATAATATATTAAAGCGAACTAAATTGATTTTTGATAAAAATAAGTTAAAATCCAATTAATTCAATTAAATATAAATTTTAGTTAAATCGTAATACGTTTTTTTCTCTTGAAATCAATTTAAAATTTCTTTTAATCTTTTAAAATTTTATTTTACATTCACAAGAATATTTTTATTCATGGAATTTTTTAAAGAATAATATTTAAAGCAGTTTTTTTAGTTAAATTTACTAAAAGTTTCTAATAATATATAAAAGCTGTGGGTCAGAAACAGTTTTACATCATAAATTCAAAACTATTATTAAAAAAAAAAAAAAAATTTTTAATAAATATTGCAAAATAAAGCATGGTAAATAAATTTCATTGAAAACTGTAACGGTTAAATTATTTTAGCAGTGTATATTCAGATTCCTTTTTAAAAACTGTTTTTAAATTATGATGTCACGCAAAAAATTAACCAATGGCAGCACGTATTCAAGTTCCCCTATTGAAAACTTCTAACGTTTTATTGGCTATTGTTCATATTTCCGTTAAACGTTTTAATGAGTTCTGGACGCACCGAGGGAGTTCGGCGGTTTAATTAGTTTTTTTGTCTTTTATTTATTTAGTGGTGTTTTGTTTTAATTTAGTGTTAGTGATAGTGATAAAGTTTTATAATGTCTTTTCCCAGAGCTAAAATTCAACGTTTTAATGATGTTATGAGTAAGATTTATACCTGTTTTATTTTAAATAATACGTTACAACAATACACACCACTTGCAAATAATATGTATTTGAATGCATATACAAAAATTCATTGTTAATACTTTCATTTATTTCATTTTACATTATCTAATTTAAAGACTTAAATATTGATATTCATTGTTTTAATTGTAAAATATTATTATATTTAATCAAAATGAAAAATTAATTATTAACACTAGCTTCCACTAGTAGGAATCTTGTACCATCAAGTTTTTACTTGATAATTATTTTGAGTTATTTTTATTAGTATTTCTAGGATTATATAAAAATACTTATGTATTTGTAATTATGTAATAAGATGTAATTTATATGTTGTCAGTAGATTAATTAATAAATTTATGCAATATTCTATTTATAATTTTAAGCCCAGGCTGTTTTGTAGTCCTCATGACAGATAAAACTCCTTCAATTTTTAAATTGTTTTATTTTAATGCTTTTCAGATAGTGTTCCCTCACCTACTAAATATGATCCTAAAATTGGGGATAAAGTAAAAGAGGATGCATTTTAAAAAGTGAAACCAAGCAAGTTCCTTTTTCTGATACTGCTTCTGCCTCA